ACAAATCTTCAGGCAGCCATCTTGGATCAAGCTTCCAACTATAAAAGATTGATTGCTGAGACTCACTCAGCTTATGAGTCTGCAATCACTGATCTTCAATCCACAATCAACCGACTACAACGCTCAATAACTACCAACTTCCATGGTCCTGAGATTCTTCTTCTGGTCAAAGAAATCCACAAACTTCTTTTCAATCCTTCTACTCCCAATAATCAGCAGCTGGCTTATGCCATGAAATCCCAATTCCAAGAAGTTTTCTCTAAGGTCGATGGCCTTTGTTCTTGGCTTGAGGAAACTCCGGGGATGCCTTCCTCAAGAGGGGGAGGTGATGAAGAAGAAGTCCATCACTCACATCATCACTCTCATCACTCCCATCATTCAATCTTACCATATCAATCTCCACCTATTATTTATGAGAAAATCCCGACTCACATTAGAGTCCTCCCATCATCAATGAGAAAATCCCATCACCGCGGCCATCCTATCACTCTCCACCTTATATTCCAGAAAAACCTAAAACTCCCCCACACTTCAAACTCCTTGCAGAATACATGTCTTCTCCAAGCTCAACCGATTCCCCTGCCACAGTTCAAAAGAAGAAAGACTGGAGGTCAGTGAAACTTACTGAAGAGATCTGGAGACTAAGTGGTTTTGATACGGTCATGGATGAAACACTTATCAATTCTTGGGTCAATCCCCACCAGAGGCTGCAAGATGAAGATTATGTTCCCCACCTCACTTATGCAGAACCTCCTCCGGATGGCTACTGGGATGTTCCCATCTCACCTAATGCCAGATACTTCACAGTATTTGAGCAGTTTGACCAAAGCCTTCCCGATGCCAAGAGGTTGCCTATGGAGTTTGAGAGACTTGCGTAGTTCTATGCTAAGCATGCCTCCCCATAGAGCACATATGGTCTAATGACCTGCCTTCCGCAGTTGTGAATTACAAGGTTCAGAGATTTATGAAGGCATAATTCTTCCAATACACCCTCACCCGAAGGGGACATGGCTACATTCACACCCAAGCAGATTTTTCCAACATGAACCCGGAGGAAGTGTTTCTCATAGCCAAAGTGTTTCAGAACAAGGCTGAGAAACATCCAAAAATGAAGACTGCACTTGATCGGGCCAACAACTTCTTGATGGAAACTATTTACGACTTTGCCAAAATTGATGCGGACATCTATCCCATCATTTCCAAGAAGATTGATTTACCACCTCTTGACCCCGCACCAATGCCCACCGAAGACTTTCCTGATAGATCTTTAGGTGCAACTAACTTCCCAGAGCTTGGTATCATTTTCAAGAGGAAGACCGACAACGTCAAATATTTTATTCCCATGAGTGCCATGCATCGGCTCACCAGGAAGCAGCTTGACATCTGCCGCATTGTAGTAGAGAAATCCAAATTCACTACCATAGAGGTCAAGTTTGAGATCCTGAGGAGAATGACCTGGTTAGAGAATGTCATGAAGTTCTGGTGGATCTTGATCAAATATCTTCGTCTTGATAAATGATCAGAAGTTAAAGAGGTCACTTAGGGGGAAATTGTTGAATCATTAAAAGTGACCCTCTTGAACTTCTCCCTACCGTAGTCAGCACCGCAGCCACAACCCAAATTCTCTACTTCAGCCATCCGCAACCGAAGTCCAAGGATCAACAGTCTTGATTTTGTACTTAGTCTTTTTTGTCTTATCACTTTTATCTCTATTGTCCAATAGACCTTGCATGGCTACTCATAGAGAACTTATGTTGTAACTCTTACATCTCTATAAATAGAGACCATGCTCTTTGTATCAAATACGCATCTTCACTCTAATACATATTCTCTGGATTTATCCTTTCTATCTCATTCTTACTTAGCCATACTACTTACTGTTACATAGCAGATTACAATCACTCTTCGGAGCAAGTCCTTGCGACTTAATCACTAAGTTTGATCTCACTCACTAACATTGGTTTGAATGTATTCCATGTTATGAATCAACTTATGTGTATACTTGATATAACAATTGTTGGCATTTACTTTTCTTTACTTTCCGCATCTAACTATCTAACTATCTAACTATCTAACAATCTAACATAATATTATTGTTGAGCTTATAGATCCTCTGAGATTAACTATTCCGCTAAATACTTGTTCTAACTTTTGTTCAAGTGTGTCTCAAAGTTTTTCTCTCAACAACCACCAAACCGAATGGGTAGGGAAGCAAGTCGCCACTGTAAGTCGCCAAAGAAGGGGCCACCGCAAACCACACTGTCCTCAATCACCCTACGTAAACCATTATCAAAGAACAACGCTGCCTCCTCCATGTGAATGGGTTGGCACGTCCTCAACCCAAAGAAAAGTTTAGCAATACCCATACAAGACCGAAGTAGAAGGAGCTCACTCTGTGGGTCAAACAATTGTGGAAGAAGGCGCATCAATTTCACAGCACCGTCAGCTCTCTTTATGGCTAAGTTGCTAATGAAACTAGCATCTCTGCTAACAGCTCCCCCGAGAAGTTTCACCCCGAATGGCGGCCTCCTGATGTCAATCAGGAATAACCCCTCACGCAGCTTCCTTCCATCACACGAGAGCCAAAAGAGCTTAGTTTTCTTGATATTCAACTGAAGGCCTAATTGTGGGCCAATAGCCTTAATGGTGTCTAAGGCTTTGGCCACCTCCTCAGAATCTCCGATAAGTGTGCCATCATCCAGGTATCATGCATGGAGAAGAAGCTTGCAATTGTCTCTAATATTATGCAAGAGCGTGTGTAACACAAGGGTAAAGAGAAGTGGTCCCATGGGGTCTCCTTGTTGAACTCCAGTAGAAGACCAAATATGTGCGTCCCCTAGATATAACCTTGTTGCTTGACCATATAGGAATTCTACCCACAAGGATATAGAAAAGAACCTTAATCTGACCTTATGAAGTAATACGGATTTGTCAACAAGGTTAAAGACATTACAGAAGTCCACAGTAAGCATGGAAAGAGACCCGTCATTGTGGCGTTCACTTAACACCCTGTTGGCGCTATGTAATACGGCTTCGGCGTCACCTGACACCCCGACCCCGAACTGAAAATCATTGAGATACTTGGCCATTTCTTTACCAACACCTTTCATATCCAACTTGGAAACCAAACGTCTCCATATAGTTCCTATTGCAATAGGTCGTATTCCCTTGTCAGGTTTTAGAAGCTAGGTAAGAGGAGCAGAGGCAACAAATTCCGCCAAACTCGAAGGGCAGCTCCCCTAGCCATAAATTAATTACACATGTGATAGCACATAGGAGGTCTTTGGCGATTGCTGAACCTTCTCCACAAAGAGAATCTAAATTGTGTTGAGCTCTCAACCCATCTCTCCCACACGAGGTTCCTTTAGGGAATGATTTAATTCCCCCAAGGACATTGTTAATATCAACCACCAGGGGAGGTACTAAACAAATGGTACTCGGTATTGATGGTGGTGGCTTGTGTGGATGCTTATCCTCCAATGCCTTCGTGGTAGCATCCGCATATGGAGCAACCCCCGAGGAACATAATACATTCAATGTTGTTGTGAAATGTCCATCAACAACCTTACGGAGACATTGTCTGACGTTGGCATGACCCCGTGTTCTATCCCCCTGAATGTACTCTTCTTTTTTGCCTTGTTGCTCCATCCTTGCATTGTCAACCAAGTTTTTAACAAGCTTTGCTATACCATCTTCTGTACCCCAAGTAGCTAATGCGCTTAAGATGCTATGATGTTGCAATGACTTCCTGTTCCCAGACCTACTTTCTTGTCTATTCTTGGGTCTGAACACGTGAAGAGTACACCTAGGAATTAAATACAATAAAATGTTATAATTGTCATTTTTTTAATAAAATTGATAGTAATTAATGATTCCTTAATATATATATATATATATATATATATATATATATATATATATATATTATCTGTGGACAATAATTTTTGTACGAAGGAAGTATAACCTTACATATTATATAACCTTACCTAGAAAATAAGTTCAGTATTTTTATTCATTTACTTATATATTTATTTAGTAAAGAAAATTTAAATAATTTAAACATAATTTTAATTTTAAATAACTTATGTATCAAATATGTTCACTACACACCGCGGTGACACATCACATACCGCAGAGTGCGGTGTAGAGCTTACCTACATATCTAATCCGGTAAATTAGCTGGTAACAATAGATTGTATAATAGATAATTGTTTTATATGCATCAAATTTGTCATTTTAGGGTATGGTCATTAGTTAACAATTTAAATTTAATTTGAACTTTAAATAATTAATATAATCTTAGATGTACAAATTATTTAAAGTTAACATTAAGTTTAACGGATGAGTGTATTCTAAAATGACAAATTTAATGTATATAAAACAATTGTGTGTTATACAATCTACCGTTAACAACTAATTTACCAGATTAGACTTGTCGGTATGCTCTATACCACGCTTTGCGGTATGTGACGTGTCACCACGGTGTGCAGTGAACACAACACCCACCCCTTTGGTTGGACAGTGGTAAACGTATCGCATCAGACGCTTCCACAACAACTTCCATTCCAATTTTTTGGTTTTTGGAAAACGGCTAAATATTTGTTTTTTTTTCAATAAACACGGTCTCTCTCTCTCTCTCTCTATGTGTGTGTGTGTATATATATATATATATATATATATATATATATATATATATATATATATATATAGGAGTAGGATCAAATGAGAACACCTAAAAGGTTGAGAACGCGAGAACAGATCTGGACCATTTAAATATCTAAATATAAGGCTATTATCAAATGGGTTGTTTATGTTAAAATCTTAAACTACTTGGATTAAAGTGTAACTTAAAAATTGTGATATGGCTATATCAGTAGTTACTACTTTAGCTGATTCCTAAAATTTCTCTCTCTCATCTATTTCCTTTTATTTTGCGGCCTCTTTCTTCCTTTCGTGTATACCTAGGGTTTCATCTACAAAACCGCATCCATCAACCACGCATGACTAGGATCAATTCATCATCTTTATCTCACGTTGCAGCCACTATCAAGCTTCCTCCCTGGTCTAAACATTTTCGTTTACACTGTTGGTTCCCTCTGTCAATCTTAATCGATTCCAACTGCAACAGGGTTTTGTTTTCTCATAAAAATGCAAACAGAAGGGAGGGTACGAAGTGGATTCAGAGACAGATCGAGAAGGGGGAGGGTGTAGCAGTGGTTTTAGAAGTGATTTTGGTGTTGTCGTGCGGTATTCGGTGGCTCAACGAGCCGGCGGTAGCCCTAGTGGTCGGAAGCTATGATTATTATTCTGGTACGTATTGCTTAAAAACCCAACGAATCTGATAAATTTTGGGATTCCACTTAACTTCCATGATCAGTGAAAGATGCGGGAAAGAATGGGTGTGACTGAAAGAGAGATCGAGAAGGAGGAGGATGTAGCAGGGGTGGCGATACGGTGGTATTAGGGTAGGGAAAGAAGCCGACAACGGACCTGGTTTTCTGAAATAGTTTGTGTTCCTACTGTTTCTTTACATACAAATGAAATGCATTCAAGAAGTGAAGGAATCTATGGGAAATCGATGGGAGTTCTCCCTGTTCGTGTTGCAATTGGTTTCCGATGACAAAGCTTCGACATTTGGTTGTTTGGTGATCGAGAAGGGCTGCACCGATTCAACAACACGTAAAGGTTCCTCTTTTTTTTTTTTTTTGTTTTTTTTGTTTTTTTGTTCTTGTGGGTATTTGTTTGATTCCCTTTTTTATTTTCTGTTTTGACTGAAATTTGTGGAGTTTGATGTGGGTTTTTTGGTTTGCTTTTTAACAGAAATGGATGAGCTTAATCAATAGATTTTGGTGTTGTTTTGTTGCTTCAAATGAATAGGAAGAAGATGAAGAATGCAATATTTTTTGAGTTTAATCGTTAAGGAGGTTTACTTCTTTAGTCTATAAGAGGCGTTTTGAATGTGATTTATTCATCTGTGCATATTTGTTTTTTTGTTTGTTTTTTAATATAGATTTATTTATTGTCGATGATTATAATCGTTCTTTATTAATTTTTTATTAAAAGTGTATGTCGTTAATGAGTTAAGCACTTTGTTGACAATAATACAAAAAATATCTTTGATTTCTTGTAGATGGGTCGAGTAAATACAGATGACCTAAATGATTGTAATGACAAAGGATGAATGAACATCTTCAACAACTTGGAAGGAATAGAAATGTATTTTATTCAACATGTAAGGGCTCCTTTTTTTTCTTCTTGTCTGATTTGGCAGCGACAGTAAAGGGAGTGACGGGAAGGAAGCCTTCAATCCACCTTGGGCTACGATGAACTCAACAGTACCGATTCACTCTCGATGTCGCTGTAGTCGATCGACAATAAAAAACGGATCATGAAGGGGGGGGGGTGCGTGAATGGTTGTATTTATTTATGAATAGCACGTGTATTCATTTATGAATAACATTGTAGTTATGTGTGAATGGTTGTATTCATTTATTAATAGTAGTGTATTAATGTGAATGAGTGTATTTATTTATGATTAGATGTATTCATTATATGATAGAATGTGTATTAATTTATAAATAACAGTGTATTCATTTGTGAATTGCAATGTATTCTTGTATGAATGATTGTATTTATTTATGAATAGTAGTGTATTCATGTGAATAAGTGTATTTATTTATGATTAGAGGTATTCATTTTATGAAGAAATGATAATTTTTACACTATTTTTATTTTCAATTGATGAAAAATGCATTGAATTTTTTGGGATTGGATTTCTATTCATTTTTTTTTGAAAAACAAAAATGTGAAATAGTATAAAATAATAATTTTTTTTAAGATTTTCTTTTCAGATTTAAAATAAAAAGAAATATTAATTTTTTTGAAACGATCATAAATTATGTTTGGGAAAAATCATTAAAAAAAATATTTATATATATTTAATTAACTAAAAGGAAATATTAATTTTTTTAGGTAATTAAAATCATTATCCCTAGATTTTAGGAAATCATTAATTAATATTTATATAAAGTTACTAATATACCCTTATAAAATGATTGTTCCAGAATTGTTCTCGCGTTCTTAACCTTTTAGGTGTTCTCATTTGATCCTCTCCCTATATATATATATATATATATATATATATATATATATATATATATATATATATATATATATATATATATATATATCACCCACTAAACACTTTTAATTCATACAACATTTTGAAACATTTGCATTCCAAAAGTAAATCCAAACAATTCTCAATTTACCGCTCGTAGAAAATCGCATGCAAATGTTCATCCATTGGAGCGCTCGGTTTACCGAGCACAAATTGATATGTCTTCAATATCGCTAGGGTACCAAGCCCAATAATTTTACTACCAACAAATACCACGACAATATTATATGATGCAACCTCCTAACCCAACCATGTTTTTAAAAAAAAAATCCCCCTCCATGAATACGTTCCTTTTCCGGAATTTGTCCGGGAAACCTTGCCCGATCCCGAACCAGTACCCGAGCCCAAACCCAAAAATTGTTCGGGAAACCTAACATGAGTTATCTAACCCCCAAATACGAGGAAAATGCAAAACACTGATTAAAAAGAGATAAAATGATATCTCAACAATCGCAACCAGATAAATAGATGATATTAACGCAATCATGGGTTTAAATTTCGGAGGATTCCAAAATTGGACATGAGCAAAAAGATTATCATTTATGGCAGTGCATTATGCAACGATTTGTTAAAGTTATGGGTTTTGGTAATTACGTACTAAAGACCAATGTACTAGCAAGTTTTGCGGGATGAACAAATAAGTTACAATATTCAATGAGATTTACAAGAATTTGCCAAGTCAAAGAACAAGCAAGGAAGATATCTAACTCGTCAGAGCTAAGTGGTACCGGAAAAGGAAGCGGGATGAGTCCCAACAACTGGTACCGGGTCGGACCCCGGTGGATCAGGGTGATATCTAACTCGTCAGAGCCAAGTGATTGTGGTGATTTGGATTGCTTAAAGTATCATCGGGAGGTATTGGGTTGAAAATTGATATTATCTGAGGAAGAAGCCGGTGGCCAGCTTAAGGGGGATCTCAGGATACTACAAGGGAGGAATTGGGTTTATAGGATTTCGGTTCTAGTGATTAGAGAAACCTGGAGCAGTTAATGCTAGGAGGTGCATTGCAAGAGTAGTTTCTGGAATTGTGTTGCCGCAGGCTTCGAGGACGAAGCCTAATTTAAGTGGGGGAGAATTGTAACATCCCGAGTTCAGGAGTGCAAGTTCAGGGTGCGAAGTGTAAATATGGAAGGCCGACTCGGCGAGTCGAGTCGCGATTCTGGTCACACGTTAAGTGACCAACTCGGCGAGTCGAAGGCTGGACTCGGTGAGTTGGTGCTGAAGAGAGAAAAACCCTAATCTTCGTGGTTACACCCTATTTAAAGGACATAATGTCCTCCCCTCAGTCCCCTTAGCCCCTTTTGAAGTCCAGAAACCCTAAATCCATTTGTGAGAGCATTGGAGAGCATTTGGATCCTTGATAAGTGCTTGGTGAAGAGATATTTGAAGATTAAGAAGATTGGAGCAAGGGGCTTTGCAAAGATTTGGTTCATTCTTCAGTTGGAGCTTTCATTTGAGGTAATAACCTGTTGCTTAAGGTCCTTTGCATCTAGATCCTTTGTTGCTTGAGTTTTGTGGCATTTCTAGAGTTATTTCGTGTTTGGAGAATGGATCTAAGGTTGCTACCTTAGATCTGGACTTGAGATGGTCCAGAAGATCATAAAGTTCCAGTCTTTGAATTGTTGGTGAACCCTTCTTTTCCCAAGCCCTAGCTCAAGAGTGTTTTATGCTTAGATCTCTTTGGATTCACGTAAATTTTGCAACTTTACGTGAGGAATAGCTTTTAGAAGGGTAGATCTAAGGATTGGAGCCCCTGCATGGCTTGGAAAGCCACTGTATGGATTAAGAGATAGAGGTACTCGGCGAGTCACATGGGTGTACTCGACGAGTTGGATGAAGAAAGGCAGGAACTCGACAAGTTGGAAGAACAACTCGACGAGTCTGTTGAAGATTGCTTTGGACTCGGCGAGTCTGTTCGCGAAGTCCTAACCTTTTTGGTTGAGCTATGAATCGGTGAGTCGAGGGATGACTCGGTGAGTTGAGTAGGAAGTGAATCAGAGTTCGTGGGACTTCGCGAGTCTTGGGGCGACTCGGCGAGTTGGGTCACAATATGGGAGTTTTCAGAGCATAGGTACTCGACGAGAGTCAGTCAGGAAGTTGACTTTGACTGAGGATTTTAACTTTGACCAAGAGTTTACCAGTTGACTTCCGGGGGTATTTTGGTAATTATTGGTATTTATAGAGATTAGTCTTTTGGTATTTATCAGTGGTGGAGTTTGAGTCGGAGGTTGGAGCAGCGTGATCTAATCTCTTCAGTCAATAGTTGCGAGGTGAGTTATCCTCACTATATCGACAGGGTCTAAGGCACCAAGGTTGGCCCTTTATCGGATTGTAATCCGGGTATTGTTGTTATGCTATTGGTTTGCTATGTTTGCATCCTGGTAGTTAGGATGGTATATGTTAGAGACCTGGTTAGGTCGGTACCCTGTTTAGAGTATGCTATGTATGTGATCTGCTAGATCGGTTGATTGATGATTAATTGTTATATGGTTATATGTTTATGTGCACATGGTTGGTTGATTGGGGTTAGGTTGAGGCGGGTCCTGCTTTGTGCTATAAGCTAACATACCCAGGATGGACCGAATATTCCGAAGGTCCATCGAGCGGTCCGGATAGGCTGTAGGCTCCACGAGGGTGGACCAGATGTGCCGAGGCTCGGAGAGTGGACCAGGCCGACTGAAGGCCCGGTGCGGGCGGACCAGCTATACTGTAGACTCAGAGAGTGGACCAGGTGGATTGAAGGTCCGGTGCGGGCAAATCAATCACACTGTAGACTCGATATATATGGCTAGACTCGGAGGGTGGACCAGGTGGACTGAAGGCTCGGTACGGTGGACCAGTCACACAGTAGACCCGAAGTGCATGGCTCTTCTGTTCTGTTATGATATGTTATGTGTATAGTATATGTGGTTAGTATTTTGTGAGTATCTCACTAAGCTTTCGGGCTTACAGTTGTGGTTTAATGTTTTCAGGTACTTCAGGAGACCATGGCAAGGCGAAGGCGTGATCGTACCACTCCTCATGTTCTTATTTTATGATATGGTTCTGGGAATACTCTGATAATAAATGTATTGAAAACCTTTTTGTAATAACTTAATGAAATTGGGTTGTTTTTGAAAAGTTTAAATTGGCTTGAATTTTTAGAGTGTTACAAGTTGGTATCAGAGCCTTGGTTTGAATGAATTGGAGGAAGATTCGTGTGAATCCAGTCTCAAATCAAGGGCAGTTTTCAAAAGAGAATTTAAAATGGTTTTCAAAAAGAAAAATAAGTAAAGGAGGACGCGGAGGTACAATCAGCCGGAGCCAGTAAGTAGCCCCAAAATACCATACAAGTTATTTGTTTATGTGATATGATAGAACAACATGGTAGTACTAGGCTAGGGATCTTCAGGAATTGCATGATAGAGTTGCCTTATTTATGATGCCTGCTAGCCTCGGGTTTCTATCTGTATGAGATTTCCAGTGTTCCTTTAGGAGTGAGGGTTGAGTGCTTGTTATGCCTGTTCTTCACTAGGGTGTTGTGGTGATACTTGATATAAATATGGGTAGGTGTGGAAGGTAGTATCGGCCCGTACTACTGAAAGCACAGGACCCATACGTGTATCAAGGAAGTCACAACCCCTAGGGCTGGGTTGAGAGTCGGTTCCTGGGTTAGTGGGAGGT